ACACCGCGGAATCCCCTGCGCGCCCTGCTTCCGTGCTCTCTTGCCTTTTCTTCTTACTTTCCACCCTCCTTCCTCCTCTTCCTTACCTTAAAAACTCCCATCATCTCGCCCTTCCATCCTTCCTTCCTTTTCCTTCTTTTCTTTATTTCTTTCTTTATTTCTTTCTCTCCCTCCCTTTTATCTTTCTTTCTCTCTTTACTTTTCTCTTCTACTTTTCCTCATCCTAAGTTCTACCAGAACTCGTTATATTTCTTTTTGCTTCTTCTACGAGGTATAAGGGCAGCCTCCCGAAGACGCCTTCTGCTTTCTCCATTCTATATCTTTCATCGTTCGTCTAATATATATTTTCGAAAACGTGCGAAGGAAGAAGAACGAAGGAGAAAGTTTTATTGCAGAGGGAATAAAAGAAAGAGGGATGAGAAGAACGAAGAAAGGTGGTTGAGGGCTAGAGAGAGAGAGAGAGAGAGAGAATTTGGAAGAAAAGGCAAGAGAAGATATCGGCTAAGGAAGGGATCGAACCTGGAGAACCTGGAACTTTGCAATTTTCGCTCGGTTCCTTGAATATAACCGAGCTATCCAAGGGCCAAGAATATTTTATACTTTTTTTTTATTCTCTTGCACTTTTTATATTTATATTATATATATTTCTATCTATGTATGTGTGTATGTATCTATATATATATATATTATATATATATACATTTTCTTGCTCTTTTTTATATATATCGTATAAAGAAATATTTATGCAAAATTTATTATTTTATATTAAAATCTTTATATTTTACTTAAAAAATATTTACTTAAGAAATATGAAAATATATTTCTACTATACGAATACTTAAGTCCGCCGCTCCCCTCTGTACAAGATGCTTGTTGTGTGTGTGTGTATATATATATATATATACACTCACACTTCATATTCTTTTATGTTTTATATATTTCTTATGAAGAAATATTAATGAAAAAAATGTATGATTAAATATATAATATATATATATATTTTTTTTTTATTTTACGTATATATTTCTTGGAATAAATTTATTATTGTATATAAATATTTCTATTTTTATTTTGAGATGAGATATATACTGAAATATGATATATTTACATACACATACATGTATCTCTTTCTCTCTCTCTCTCTCTCTCTCCTTCTTTCTCTTGCATTTCTCTCAATCTGGTAGCGTGAACTTTCTCGCCGTAAGGAGAGAGAATCGGCGATCTTTCGCACGCACTTTCCGTGGACGCTCGTTTTGGAGCGTTGACTCCGTTCACCCGTTCCGTTCCAATTTTCACGCGGAGAAAGAAGAGAAAGAAAGAGAAAGAAGAGTAGTAGGAGGATCATGAAGGAGGGTGAGGAGGAGCAGGGTGAAGAGGGTGAGGAGGGGAAGGCGATAGCAGTGGCAATGATGGCGGCCACGATGACGACGACGACAACAACAACAACAACAACAACAACAACAACAATAACAAGAACGATGACAACAATGAAAACGACGATTTTAGTAATCCAGCTTTTCTTATTTTCTTTGTACGAACGAAGCGTAGAGAATAATAGTTCATAGGAAGGAAATTTTTGACTAATCGAAATCGATCATTCTCGATGCTATCTCACTTTCGTAATTTATTCAATAGATCTTCTTTGAAATCTCCTATTCTGAATCTATTTTTAAAGTTTATCCTATTAATACGAAAACGAATAGATATCGTCTCATTTCGTTCCTCTTCCTTCATCTTTCTTTTTCTCCTTCTATGCGACTATTTTCGAATCTTTTAAAGGTCCATACACCCCGATATATATATTTGAATATACATGTAATATTAATAAAATGGTTAGTTAATTATTTATATATTCCTCTTTGTTGAATTACTCTTTTTATGTTGCCTGAAGATAATGATCATAATTGCCAAGATAAACAAGATATTATTATTTTTTTATATAAAGCCTTTTAATATAAAGTTTGCATAGATTCATAATACATTTGTTTATATATCATACTCGCGGCGAAAATTCTTATATAAAAAAGAATGCATATGTACGTTTTAATTTTAATCTCGAGGATTACGTTCTAACACGATTAAAAATTTTTCATCGCGCAAAGGATTTTTCTAGTTACTTAACATTATTCTCCCTTTATAATTACCATATAATCATAATTATTACCGATGTATAAACTAAAATCTCTCTCTCTCTCTCTCTCTCTCTCTCTTTTCTTTTAAAAAGAAGTTAAATAAATTAAAACAAATAATAAAGGATAAATTAATCCGTCTACCTCCGAAAGAAGAAAAAAAAAAAAAAGAAAAGAAAAAAAAGAAAAAAAAAGAAAGAAAAAAGAGAAAAGAAAAAAGAAAAAAGTAAAAATATATATATATATATATATATAGTTCGTATTAAAAGTTATAGCGCTTCTTTTTTCTTTTCCTTTTTCCTTAAGATGTCTGTTCTTTTAGTTTCCTTCAAAAGTTGCATCATCAAAATTTATTATGCACGTACTGCAATTATTTTTGTCGTTCCTTACTAACGATCGATTTCTTCGAAGCAAAAGATAGATAGATGGATAGATAGATAGAGAAAAGGATAGAGAGAGAGAGAGATAGAGAGAAAGGGGTGGGGGGAAAGAAAAGGAGAGAAAGAGAGAGAAAGGGGTGCAGGATAGGAAGAGAAAAGAGAGTTGCATTAAAGAAAGTGTAGCTTCGAGGGATAGGGGAGTATAGAAAAAGGGGGAAAAGAATACGAGAAAGGGGTTCTCTATCGATTCTCGACTGCGCGAGAACATCGACTCGATTTTTCTCTTTCTCTTTCATTTCTTTTTCTATTTTCTTTTCTTTTTCTCTGTTATTCTCGAGGATCTCTTTCGTTATATCATTCGCTAAAGAAAAATTCATTTTTCTAAGTAAAATTTTCTCGATCGATCGGCCTACAGATATACATACGTACGTACATATGTGTATATGGATACAGACAGATATATTCTTCTTTAACAAGAACGAGATACTGTATGCGTGCGAATGTGTGTTGTATCGTACTTGTGTGAGAACCGAAAAGAAAAAAAAATTTTCTTTCACATCGAATGAGGGTGAAAGGTTTCGGAATAGCAAAAAGAGAGTGAGGGGAGAGAGAAAGAGAGAGAGAGATTGGGGTAGGGGGGCGGGGGAGAAATAGGGAAAAAATTATTCCCATAAGTATTCTTAGCGAATAATCCACATCAATGACGCTTACATATCTTCCCACAATGCGAATAATTCTATTTGCTTTTGTTTTGTCAACTGGTGGCCTCGATTTTTGTAAATATTTTGCCACGAATTTTTCTCTTTTTCTCTTTTCTATTTTTCTTTTTCTTTTATTTTTTTTTTTTTTTTTTTTTCTTGTTTACGCATCGACGTTAACAATAAAAATAAAATGAAATGAAATAAAATAAAATCAAAACATAATATAAATAAAGAACATAAATAGCTCGTTCCCTTTTGTTTTTTTTCTTTCTTTTTTTTTTTTCTTTTTTTCTTTTCTTTCCTCTTTATGCGAATATCACGAATTATGTCATCGTACAGATATTTAAAGCAATTTTTTAAAGGAAAAGAAAACAAAAAAGATGTTCTTTTTCAAAGCGGACAAATTTCCATAGCCATAAAAAATGCACAAATTTATATTATTTTGCGTATTAATTCGTTGATAAAAACTTAATAGGTATATAAAATATAATTAATTATAATTATATATATATATATATATATATATATATATATATATGTGTGTTTGTAAGACACACGTAGCATACATACATATATAGGTATATAGGAAATATCGAGGATCTTGAATAGAATGACGCAGAGTATCGATCGATCGCGAGTACCGTTTCAACGAAAACGAGAACAGAGGAGGTAGAGAAGAAAGAGAAGGATGGAGAGGAGGAGGAGATGGAAGAGGAGCGGTGAAGGGGGAGGGGGTGGAGGAAGTCCAGCTTTCGTGACGTCGGAGCAGAACACGAACAACGGTGGAAACAGGAGAAAGAGAAAGAATTGGTCAACAACATATTGGAAGAGGGAGTTGTTGTATGGGTGTGTATGTGTATGTGTATGTGTATGAGCGAGAGTCCGTGCTCGCGCGCGCGCGCGCATGGTCCTAATTTTCGTCCTGTCGTCGTACCGTAAGGCATAACAGTACTGCATTCCAAATGCCCTTCGTTTCTTCGTTTCTCTCCGTTCACCTTTCTGAGAGAGAGAGAGAGAGAGAGAGAGAGAGAGAAAAAAAAGAGAGAGAGAGAGAGAGAGAGAAAAATGAGAGAGAGAAAGGTGCAGCACTCTCGGCCTCTCACCTGTTCCCCTTCGCCCTACCACTCTCTCTTCATAGTTTCATTTATGTATGTGTGTATGTATATACATATGTGTGTGTATATACATATAAGTTAGGTTTATCGAAAAATTCCGTCCGTTTTATTTTTATTATTCTTCTTTTACTTTTTTTTTTTAAATTGAAAAGTTTAAGAATAAAAATTTACGTACATCTGTTTGTACATATATATATATATATATGTGTGCGCGAACATGTGCATATCCATTTTGCATTTATTTTAAAATTTATTATAAATATATAAACGCGTTTGCGGATGTGTCTACATATATACATATATACATACACATACATATACATATATATATATATATATGAAACTAACTTTCAGCTTTTCCACCATTTTCTTTTAATAACGTCGGAAAGGAAGACAGGGACGAACGAAGAAGTATAGAAAAAAATTGATAAAGAAGAAGACTTTTGATACGGGGAGGAAGAGAGAAAGAGATAGACAGATAGAGAGAAAGAGAGAGAGAGAGAGAGAGAGAGAGAAATAGATAGAGATAAATAGAGAGGGAGAGAGAGAGAGATAAGACGATGCCGGAAACGTCTATTTCATGAAGAGCGTAGAAAGAAAGAGATAGAGTGACGGAGAGGAGAGGAGAAGAGAGGAAAGGAGAGGAGAGGAGAGAGAGAGAGAGAGATAGGGAGAGAGAAAGGAAAGATTCCTTCTACCGAAGTAGCAACGAAGCAACAGTACTTCGAGATTATTCTTTCTTTGACTCGTGTAGAAGAAAAAGAAGAAAGAATGACGGAGGTAGAAAAGAGAAAAAAAAAAGAAAAAAAAACGAAAGAGAGAGAGAGAGAGAGGGAATTTCTTGTACAATATCACGTTATTACGGTTCTACGCGTTCTCGAATTTTCTACCGTTACAAGAAGATGAAGAAGAAGGACAAAGAAGAAGAAGACGAAGAAAGAAAGAAGAAGAAGAAGAATCGAGTGTACTCGATTGGAGGTCGAAGTATCTCTCGATTTCGGCACGAACGCCCGCGAAATTTTAAATGTGGTTCACGAAACTGTTACAAGCGTTTTACATTTCGTTACTTTTTTTTTTTTTTTATGTATATTCCCTTTATTTCGTTTCGCGCGAATAATTTCTACGGGACATTTTAACAACAAACAAGGGGAGAGAATTGTTGGTAATTGCACGTTAATTCTTTCTTTTCCTTGGTTCCTTTTTTTTTCTTTTTTCCCCCCTTTCTTTTTTCCTCGAACAATATCGAAATTATTTTCAAAGTCTCTCTTATCGTTAGTAATTATTTTCTGTATTAAACAGGCGTCTCTTTATTTTATATCATTATTATTACTACGTGTTTATAACTTTTTTTTTTCTTCTTCTTTTTTCTCCTCCCATACAAATTTGAACGAATATTGAAAAAGAAAAAGGATTAAAAAAATAAGTTTATAACTTTTATTCGTAATTATTTTCGAGTAGGAACATAGAATTCTCTCGATTTCTTCATCTTGGAAGCTATTTTACGCGTCTCTCTCTCTCTCTCTCTCTTTCGTTTTTTCTTAACGCGTATCCGACTTCCGGTTGAAACGTCGAGAAAAGAGGGTCGCGAAAAGCACCCTCGTGCTTCGTTGGATCAGGGCTCTCGCGCCCTTCCTATCGTGGCCCGTGCCGTGAGGGGTGATATCGCCTCGCTCAAGGTCGCACGTGGACCGGAAAGTTTATTCTTGCCCGCTTTGGCGAGGCACATTCGCGCGGGCGCGCGCTACCAATAGCTCCTACGTAGACGCACGCGCAACTATGTACGTATGTATGTAAGCATATATGCACGTACTTACGTACGTACATATATATCATTCTCGATCTTTCGTCAATTGGATTTGGAGGCAGTTTTCTATTTCCTCGACGTCGACATGCTTTTAAAAATATTCTTTTTTCTTTTTCTTTTCCTTTTTTACAAATAACGTCGAGCTGTGTTCCAACTTGTTCGTTTTTTGTGTACTTGTAAAAAAAAATGGTTTCGTCAACGCGATGAGAAATGATCTTGAAAAATCTCCATTAAAAGACAAAAAGAAAAAGGGACTTTTCGATTTTGTAGAATCATTTGATATTAGTCGGCACGAAATTTTTGAATTTCCCGCGCGAAGATCAGCCGCAAGCGAGAAGACGTTAATTTCCGTCCACCGGTACTCTCCGCTCTTAGGTATATACATACATACCACCGGCTATAACCTCAAATAGTTTCAACCTCGATGCACGACGATTGGGTAGACAGAAAGAGGACGATGATGCATAGAACGAGGACTCGTACTACGGAGAAAAGTCGATTTCCTTCTCGAGGAAGTGTAGTGGGATGGAGGAAAAGAAGAGTGGGTGGGAGGGGGGGAGAGGGCCCGTGAGACCCCAGTCCGTCGTCTTATCTCGTCAGATATATGAGAAAGAAAATGAGAAAGAGAGAGACAGAGAGAGAGAGAGAGAGATAGAGAGAGAGAGAGAGAGAGAGAAAAAAAAGACAAAAAAAAAGAGAAAAAGAGATAGAGAGAAAGTATAGAAAGAGAAGCAGCCATGATGGCGGACGGAAGAAGCAAAGAAAGAAGGGATCCGGAGAAAGGGTGCAGAGAGAGAAAGAGAGAGAGAGAGAGAGAGAGAGAGAGATAGAAAGAAAGAGATAGAAAGAGAGAGATAGATAGAGGGCGGCGAACGGGGAACAAGAGAGTCTCTTTGTGTGCGAGCGAACACCGAAGGGATGAAAGCGAAGGATGAAAAAGCTGAGGGGACAGATGGCCCTTTCAGACAATGAGAAACTCGAGAGATAAGGGGAATACGAACGAGAATATATATGTACATAGAAAGAAAGAAAGAAAGAAAGAAAGAAAGAAAGAAAGAAAGAAAGAAAGAAAGAAAGGAAGAAAGAAAGAAAGAGAGTGTGTGAGAGGGGGAGGAAGGGGGGTGGGAGAGGGAGGGAGGGAGGGAGAGAGAAAGAAAGAAAGAAAATAGAAGAAGACGGATGTAAGAGAAGGAAGCGCTGGCAAAACTACTTTTTCGTACATGGGGCGGGGGTGGGGTGGGGGAACGAGGGAATATAATGAACGATGGTGAAGAAAGAAAGGAAGAAGAAAGATAGAGAGGGGAAAAGAAAGACGACTAACGGATGATGACTCAGAAAGAGACAGAGAGAGAGAGGGAGGGAGAGGGAGGAGAAGGAAAAAGAGAGAACAAAAAAATAAATCAAGTGGACCGTGGAATCTTTGAGAAATGCAATTAATTGTCGAAATAAAGATAGAAAATATTTGTATTACGTTAGTTAAATAATAATTTCAAGTCAAGCTCTCGTAAAACTTTATCATCTCGACGTATCATCGATTCGTAAGACAAGGAAAAAAAGAAATTAAAGAGAGAGAGAGAAAGAGAGAAAAGAAAAGGAAGACAAAAAATAAAGAAAGAAGAAGAGAGAAGTGGATGGGAAAAAAAAAGAGAAAGAGAGATATGAGAGAACTTCTACGTGGCCTTGGACCAAAAGAAGAGATCACGACCTAGCAAGCTGAATAAGAGCCTGAGGAGTCCATGCGTAATGACGCGTCTCTCTCTCTCTCTCTCTCTCTCTCTATCTATCTCTCTCTTTCTCATACCATTTTTAGGACATTTGCAAATTAGAAATAAAAAGTTTTTCTATCCAAGTACATCGGTCAACGATAATAATTAATGATTTTTACTAGTTTTTGCCGAATATCGTGAAGAAGAAATAACCAAGTTTAAAAATAGAATTATTTTTTTTTTCCTTCTTTTTCTAATGTAATATACACGTGTAGTATACGTGCGCGCGAGTGTGCGTACGTATGTTATATCACGTTGAGAAAAGCATAATCATTTATTGACATTCCATTTATAGGGTAAATATAAACTCTGGATATGTCTGATCGCAATAGAGTTTATCCAAACAATCAGGTGTGTACCATTTAAATATTCCCGCCATCGGGCTTTTTCTGTTTGATATCAAGTGCAGTAGAGAGAGAGAGAGAGAGCCATCGAGTCACGTGGTATATACAATAGATTTGACATGGCGCCGTTAAAGAGATTTCGTATGTAAATATCCCTCTTAATCGGTATATTACAGTACATAAATACAAGTATCTACGTAGACGCGTATACCTGTGAAAACTTTTTCTAATTAATGTCCTTATTCGTCTAGGCATATAAAACTGGAACAGTATATGTAACGGTTTGACCGTTATAATTGAAGAAAGATCGTGAGTATAATATGCAACGTTATAATATAGGTAAGAACGAAAAATACGAAAGATTCTTACTTAACGTAAGTAGTAACACGAAGGAACGGTGGAAGAGAAGAATCGATCGCTAAAGCTCTCTCTCTCTCTCTCTTTCTTTCTTTCTTGGTCTCTGAGTTCTTATATTCCCCCATCTTCCTCTCTCTCTCTCTCTCTTCTTTCTTTTGCTTCTTCCCTCCGGTTCCCTCTCTCATAGCCGTCCTAGTCTTTCAAGAAACAGGATGCGCTGGCACGAGGAGAAGAGAGAGAAAAAGAGAGGTGGGAGAGAAAGGCGAGAGGGTTGCCAACGGAAAAGAGGAAAGAAAGACAGAGAGAGAGACATAGAGAAGAGAAGAGAAGAAAAGAGTAGTGAAGAGAAGAGAAGAGAAGAGAAGAGAAGAGAAGAGAAGAGAAGAGAAGAGAAGAGAAGAGAAGAGAAGAAGAGAAGAGAAGAAGAGAAGAGAAGAGAGAAAAGAGAAAGATAGCAGTACCAGCAGCACCAACAGCGTTGAAGTAAGAGAAGGGGAGGACGCTGTGGTAAGAGGGGACGAAGGTGAAGTAGGAGAGAACGACGAGAAGAAACGAGCAAAGAGAAGGAGAGAGAGGAAGGAGAGAGGAAGGAGAGAGAGAGAGAGAGAGAGAGAGGAGAGGAGAGAGAAAGAGAGAAAGAGGACGAGTAGGTGAAGGTTGAGGCGGGGCTGACGGGGAGGGGAGAGCCGGCAGATCGAAAAGCAAGAAAGAAGGAAGTGTGGTTAGGGTGGTAGTAGACAGGATACCGGTGTGAGAGAAAAAAGAGAGAGAGAGAGAGAGAGAGAGATAGTGTAAAGAAAAATTTCTCGCTTCGTCTCTCTCTTTCCTTCTCACCCTACTCCTCTTTTAGAAAGGCGCCGGATAGATGAGAGAGAGAGAGAGAGAGAGAGAGAGAGAGAGAGAGAGGAAAGAAAAAGGAGGAAAAGAAAAATGGCGAAGTTGTTCCATCTCTCTTTACCTCCCTCTCTCTCTCTCTCTATCTATCTATCTTTCTATCTCTTTCTTTCTCTCTCTTCCGCGTATTTCATTATTTCACTTTATCTCGCTCTATATTTCACATTTCACCTTAGTATTATATTTTATTTCTTACTTTTCTATAATAACCTCTATCTTTTCTTCTTCTTTTTCTTTCTCTCTTTCTTTTTCTCCCTCTCTCTATCTTCTTATCTTGCGACTACGTGAGTCAGAATGGCAGAGAGAACGGTCGAAGAGAGGAGAAGGAAAGCACGAGGAAAAAGAGCGTCGTAGGTAGGAAGAAAGAGAAGGATAGAGAGATAGCTAGACAGATAGATAGATGGAACGAAAGAAAGAAACAAAGAAAAAAAGAAAGGAAGGAAGGAAAAAACAGAGAGAGAGAGAGAGAAAGAGAGAGATAGAGAGAGAAAGAAAAGGGGTCGCGAAGGG